TATGGTCTTAAAGTATCTATACTTACTCAAAAATTACAAATATCAGAATTTAAATAAATTTATGGGTAATTACTTAGTATAATTATTATAAGTTGCTGCATTTAATAAATTCGATTTTGTTGGTTTAACAGATTGTGTCGAATAAATTAAGGGGCGCAAACCATACAACGACGAATTAAAAAAAAAAAAACCGTTTAAAATAGTCCTCTACAAAATTGGATGTCGACATATTGTACATTATATTGAAAGTAGTAAGTCCGCAGCGACGAAACAATCGTAAACATTATGTTGGGTATATAATATTCGTAATATTAATGGACGGCGGTCGTGATACAAAAAAAACAACGATAATCGTTTGGAAATATTTATTATATTGTATAAGCTATATATAATATAGAGGTTACCTCTAATATAAACCTGCACCAGCTATGTAATTTTTTTTTTTGGAAAACACTTAATCGAATATAATAAAATACGCAGCTCAAAGCCCAATCAGTTATATTACTCGAATGGAGATTAAACGTAGATGGGTATCATACGGTAGTAAGTGTAGGCAACAAAGAGTCGTTATTCGAGTTTCTTTTCGAAGTGTTTTGTGACAATCACGATACCGATCAAAACATTAAATCCGTGTGATTCCGTATTAACTACTGCAACAGGGGTATTGCTCTTCTCAGTAATCGTATTCGTTTAAGATTCTACAGGGGAACAATGATTGTGTTACAATGACGTGTGCAGACTTTTTATTTCGTATTAATACTCTTTGGTGAAGTATAGTCCGACTTACTTGCTTATAATATTGTCATCTATCAATAATTATTGTTAATATTTTTTTGGTTTTTATAGGTTCGCGCTGTGTCTCTAAACGGCTGGAAAGTAATGGCGATTTTAGAATTATGAAAAAGTACAAATGTTTAAGTGACTAAGAAGAAATGATGTAAAAACAAATAACACACTTTGAAATGTGTATTGCAGGGCGGAACATTGGTTATATTTTTATAATTAACGTATATTAGCGAACAACGATAATTTTAAGTTAGATATAATAATATTATTAATTATTTTTATTCTCGGGGGTAGGCGTACCTACTTACCTACCTACCTGTACATGAGGATAATTAATAGGAATGTAATAATAAAATGTATTGACTGCGCATAAAAAAATCACCTAATGCCTGACTTTATAATATTAATCATGTTGTCCTCGCTAACTCTTCCCTTTATGCACACTTTTATGAATGTTGATGATGTAGGTAGGTTCTATGTAATATAAAAACAGGTATGTACCTACCCTTTCCGTATAATATATTATATGATGTGTCGACTATGAGATTCGTCGTGCAATATTATTTTATAATACCCATTTTATATCTACCATATTTAATAACACGTACAAAACGAACAAAAAAGTATGCTCTCTACACGCTGCCTAGTGTATAAAAAACTCGTTGGTTTTTTACGAGAGGGAATACTGATTTTTTTCTATCATTATTACGTTATGATCATTGGAAAATACTTCACACACGATTACGGACCACCTACTTCAACAAACTATATTATGTATTAAACGTTTAAAAAAGTAAAAAAAGATTTTTTTTTTAATGTAAAAAAACGCGTTTAACACGAATGCCGCCGCTGCCGTATAGCTGGTGCCTATATTTTGTGAGTGTGTGTGTGCCGTATATTATTGTAAAACGAACATTCCAAGTTTTTTACGCGAATACTTGTTTTCGAATTTGTATAGATAAAGGCGTATCCGGTAGCTTCCGACTAACTTTTCATTCCCATTCATCGATCGTCCGTCGCACAATGTGCGCATTACGTAACGACGGATTAAAAAAAAAACCGGGTTGTATGCGTTACAAATCAATTCCGGTAATACTATTTTGCAGCAGGGCGCTATGTTATTGTGTTATACAAATGGCAAAAAAAATACTATTTTGACACTTTTTTATGCACAGTCGTAAAAAATATACACTATTGTTAAAAATTAACCCAAAAATTGCCCATTAATATTTTGTTGTGCGCTATATGTGCGGCCCCCGAGGACTCCCGTTTGTCGGCGCGTTTGCGAGGAACAAAAAAAATCCAACTCGCCACGTTTTATTCACATCACACACAATTCGGGCGTACCATTCACTGTGTCGTGTGTGTACACGATAAACGGGCTCATACACATTATTATATGCCTCGAATTTTTATATAAACATTAAAAACGTAAATAATAATAACGAATAAAAAACGGAGAAAAAATTAGGGACGTGGCCAGCGGACGCCCCGTGGTTACAGGTAAAATGCACTGCGCGCCACCTGTATAATATAATATAATATACATATTACATATAAGTATATACATATATATTGTACATTATTATGCGTGAATGGTCGAAATCTCCAATTAGTTCTCGTACCAGCCTAGCGTTGAAAAATACGATTTACGATGTTGAATTAATGATTATTTTTTATTACATTATTATTATTATTATTATTATTATCATCATCATTATTATTATTTGTAAATCGTCTAAACGAAACTGTCGTATCTATTATATATATATATTATACTTATAACGCGTGCGTTCCGTACGAGATACGATAATGGGCAAGACCGTGTAACTATACCTAGTTTCTTTTCTTGAAAACCTAGATCATTAACATTATTGTTTGTTTTGGATTTTCGGATCTGGACACAAGACACAATTTCTGGGATAAAATGACGACGCGTGGACTGTAACGAGTTCGAAACCAGATACGTGAATATGTGTTTGTATAAAAAGTCGTTTATCGGCTTATTTTACAGTGTATTGCAGCAGACCTAAATTCGTTGTAAAACTCTTCCAAATAATATATTATTGACTACTAGTTAATAACTAATCAGATATCGATAACAAAAAATGTGTAGAAATTCTCGTTTGAGTTTTTAGTTGAATAGTAGGTAATCTTTATCAATCGAATTAGTTTAGAATTGATTGATCACCTAAAATTTTAACATTTTTGAACATAAACGCATTATTGTGGTATAAAAGTATATCAAAGTTAGTCCTGGTGAAAATATAATTTGAACAGTTAACTTATGAAATATATACAACATTTATATTGATAATTATTGTTATTGATGGGTAGCTGCATAAATCATAATTAATATAATTAATACTAATTAATAGAAGCAATTATTATATAGTAATCATAATCAAATTTAATTATATTAAAAACGAGTAAGTATACAAAATATTAGAATAATTATTTTACTTCTGAATTTAATTTTGTTTAATATGTAAATTAAGTTACAGGACTACATATTACTTTATGATAAATTGGTTAACAATATCATAAAACAAAATGTATAATAATTAAATTTACCAAATATAATTTCAACAGTATTTTTAGTCATACGTCGTTTATGCATTGTGCCGGTTGTACTAACGCATTACATAGGTACTAACATATATGTTCAGTGGTTAAAATTGGGTTGTTATCTTAAATATTACAGTGAATTGACATAATATTAAATTTATATCATATAACGAGTTGTATCGTTAGTTAGATATTTTAATTTTAAAGCGAGTTATGAATAGTATGTCAAACATTAAGTTTTAAAAATAATAAAAAATATTCTTTTCATAAAAAGAATAAGCATTGTTCTACAATCTACATCATAATATTATAGGTAGGTTCTAGTACTACTGTGTGTGTGTGTTGTAGCATATACGTATAGGACGTCCACTAATCACTGAATCTGGCTTTATTAAGTGCTTGAAATATATATTATTGGATTTGTTGTATGTTAATCGTTAACATTTTAACTTCTATCTCCTCAGTAATCGTTTTATATATACAGAGAGAAGCTTATCCAGACAAGTCGAAATTAATCGTCCTTTGTTTATCCACACAGCTATACCCCCACCACCACCCTTATCGAAGCCTGCAGCCGTTCGCGACCACCGTTGAAGATAATTTACATATAATATAAAAAAAACACACACAAACAAGGATTGCTCACCGGTGGCGTTGGCGTGTACGATAACGCGCGATGTCAGGTATGTTAGATAACATTCATAATATATAACTGTGTATAATATGTATTTTATATATAGTGAATTGTAACTCGTTTCCGGCTTCCGAACAGTGTACTCCACTGGGTGTCGCGTATAATCGTACTTATTAAGTATTATTCTACACATTTCTTATCACCGCGTGTGTCGGTACATAGAGTAAATATGTATTATATATTACACACTTAATACGGCTTAAAGCAGCGACGGTCTGTCTAAAAAAAACAACGGTACGATTTCCGCGATTTAAAATCACGCAATTCGTATTACATTAAGCGTGTGTCGTGTGTCTATACACTTTACTGTGTCCACAATTTGTAAAAGTGACCATTGAAAAAGACAAGATCACATGTGTTATATATGTATATATGCAAAGGTACCTAACCTAAGTGCTGTACAATTCCCCGACTGTTTGCAAAAACTGTGTAAAATAAACATTTTAGCCTGGAATTTTAATACAACATCATAGTACGTAATATATAATCACACTTTAAAGGTAAGAAAATTATACTACATATCTAAAGTAAAAAATTACAAAAAATATTAACAATTTATGATTTACTCAATATTTTGGAACTATTTAAACCAAATAATAAATTACCCAATATTATTTTATAGATATTTCAAAAAATTGAAGTATTGTATAATATTATAGAAAAGTACTTGAAAAAATATTGATAAAACTATTGAAATTAAATACATTGAAAAAATTGTTTAGTTATTATAGTAGTGATACATATAATATAATATGTATACAACCATTTCCATAATCACGTTGTAATTTTAGACAGGAAGGGCTCTACAATAACATTTTTTGTGTTAAAATGTTATACTTTAAAATGTTAATAATTTAAACTATTAGGTATTAAATTAGACAGTAATATTAAAACATAAGTTAATTGAATATAATTGAATATATTATTTTCTTTTTTCCAAAGTCGCTATTTATTAGTTTGGTAATATTATAAAAGGATTTTTCTCGTTAAAAATAGTAGCAATTAATTCACGTAATTCACTGTTTTTCTGTTGCTCAGCTTCAAGCCGTTTTTCTAAGGATACTCCGTGAATGTTTTCAGCATCATAACTGGTTAATATATTCAACAAATCTCTCTTTTCCTTCCTGAGTTGTATGATAGTGTTGTCAGCGATTTTTGCGCGCTTTTTATTTTCAGCTAACTCAGTTTTAAGCGCATTCAACTTGCAATCGTTACTTGATAACGAAGTTTCCTTTAATTTATCACTTAATTTACTATCGAATACGATACCGAACTTTTTCAAACATTTCTTGTAAGAAGTAATGAGTTCCAATCCCATTTGTTCAGACCCATCGCCAACTGTTTTTAATACCGAATTGACATGAACCAATACGTCCTCGAGATTTTTAAATTTTTGAGTATCCTGTATAATTTGTGTTAAACACTGGTAGTAAATATTGTTAATGTTGACCACAGAAGCAATATTTTGCCAAAAATCTCTGTCCATAGTTTTCAATATTTCATCTAACTCGTGAGTTTCAGTTTTGTAATCAATGTCATGAGATTGTAACACAAGTTTTTGTACTTTCAGTGGTTTTTGATTATATAATATTTGGGCACCAAATACTTCAAACACATTATTTTTCGCCTACAACACTTTTGATATTAGTAAATAGAATGAATATTTTTAAAAAACAAACTTATAATAGGTAATATTAGTTATTTATATACTTATAAAATTTCTAATAATAGATAAATTTATATAATAATAATACCCACAATAATCAGTATATCACTATGAATTTATATATAACGTATTAACATTTAAATAAATATTAGATTTATATATATGTAATAACAAATTAAGTTAATACCAGCTAATGGCCATGGTTTATTAAAAGTGAAATAATTCTATAAATTAACTTGGTATTAAGTACAATATTTTATTTATGTGATAACAAAAAAGTGAACAAGGAAGTAAACCGTTCTATCGTATATTTGTACATCACGTGTCGAGTTTATCTTGAGTTTCGACGTGTAAGTCTCTATAGTAGTGAATGACTTAAATTTGAATTGAATAATAAATCATTATTTACGAAAAATGATTATGAGCAAAGATTTGTCAGCTTATAATTTTGTATAACAAACTACTAAGTATATTTTATTAAATATTTATATTTCTGTGATAGTATTAATGGTAATATGTTTTATTACTCTATTAATATGATATATCTAGACGTTTGACAATATAAATAAGCAATAACTTTAAATTAATCTAATTATTTTGATAATATTATTGCGTTTTTGTGCATAAAAAATGAATAATAATATTATTATATTTTTATATTTAAAATATCTTATCGATATTTAGATATTTACTTAAATAAAACTACGCTAAACTGAAAATATTTAATAGGTTGAATTTTTTTTTTTTTTTTTGAAAATTATAATATAAAATACCAATATATTTGATGAAAAATCCAAATGTGTACAGGATATTTATTTTTGATTTTAACAAAGTGAGAAAATCAATTTTTTCAAAAACTGGGTTTCCGTAAAAATTAACGCTTTAGGTACTTAATTAATATAACGAAAAAAAAATGTTTAAAAACACATCATTGTAAAATTAATATATTCATTGCACCGTTCAGAGTTTAAAACAATAAATATTATTTATATCGTGTACCAGTATATTGTATCCGTATCGTTAATTCATATAACATATTATTATATAATCTCACAAAATTGTCGACGTTATCCGCCTGTTTCGTGTCACCTTCCATATTTTTACAACTGTTGTACGACGCACATTCGTTTTCACAAGCATTGGTGGTAACTGAAGTCATTTTATAGTTAAGGTTGTTTACCTTAACGCCAAGTAATTTTTCTTGAAACCGTTTATGTTTTTCGACCAAAGCTTTAACGTTTAGACGTCTTTCAGTAGGTTTGTTGATTTCTCGTTCATGAATTGTATTGAAACTTTTATAAGACGTTAATGAATGATCGGATTCAGCTAATATGGGGGATGCTAATTCAATGCATGGCATTGATTTTGTTTCTTCGATTGTTGTATTAGGTCCAGGCAGCGACATGATTGTAATTATATCCTTGAACAATTTATAATACACGATTTTATCAATATTCCTCGTACGATGCGTATGTTTCACAATCGACGTAAATTTATTTTAATAACATTAATAAAATTTCAACTAAAATTAATTTCTACAGTTCGATTTACAATGCAATATAATACATTATAGGTAATTATAGTAATATTATGTACATTGTGTAACGTTATATATTATAATGTTTATTTTATAAACAAACACGAAGTCCTCTTGCGTAATACACATAACGACGAATTAAATTAACAACCTATGTTAATTACCTATGGTAATTTTTAAGTTCTAATGCTTTTTGTTATTTTAAAATCTACATAAAATAACAACTAAGCGTCCAAAACAATATTTTCGTTGACGAGTTTACTATTTTGTATTATAGCAGGTATATTATGTCGTAATGCATGAGTTTCCCATGGTGGTGATAGTTAATTAATAATTATGTCTATATAAACCGGATAAAGTAATGATTAAAATATAATTTTTTACCATAAATATTTATCAAAACAGCTTTTTTTTTATATTGTAATTAATGATAAAACATAAACAGCCAATGAAGAATTATGTAATAAGTAAAATGTATTACTGCTGAGAATGTTACAAACTGAAATTAATATTTTCTCTTTTGACACATGGTACAATTGACCAATTCAAACATTTTGTTCTAAAATTTGTATTCAATATGGCCAGTATTATAAATTAGAAAATGAAAACTGTATGCTGTATACATGTGTACTATGCCAGCAGTATATTTAAACAAATGTATACAAACAACCAATTTTAATATATTATGTCCTTAGATTATGTTGAAAATCGAAGATGTACCTATGTTATTTAAAAAAATATTTAAAGACAAACAACTGAAAGTGAATTCTTTGAATGGTAATCACTAGTCAGCTAATCAGGGAATGCCAAAAAAAAAAAAAAAAATGATGCATTATGCCTTAACATATTAAACAGTTTTAAATGTCATTATACTTTAAAATATCATAGATTTCTCTACTTAATAATAAATAACAAGTTTGTTTTATAATAACTATATAATGTCGTCAATATCAATATCTTTATTATTATTATTATTAGTTATTACCTATTATTGCTTTTAAATATAAATTTATTTATTTCTTACTTTATTTTTGCTATTTGGTATTTAATATTTTTATTACTTGAGAATACTGTAGTCATTACACTTGAACCTATAACTTAATCCTGATTGAGATTAATTTTCCACATAAGGTAATCATTGTCTGCACATTGAATATCACCCGCAATATATTAAGATGACATATGTACTGGAAAAAAGTATGTGTAGGGTGACACTTTAAAGGGAGTATAAGAAAATATCAGTGACATATGTAACCACCCTTGTAATGGTTATAGAAATATTCTGAAAGTATCGACGCAATAACAATATTTGATTCGGGTTAGGGAAACATAAGTATAATACAACTCTCTCACATCCGATTTTTTTGAGAACATATTGTATATGTGTGTGTACGTGCGTGTAAAAAACATTAAAAATGCCTGCAACTGCCTTGGTAGCGAAATTTTTATGATAGGAAATACTTGAAAATTCAGAACTTTACTCAAATAACACCTGTGCCTATAACGGCTCGCGTATAATAATATGCAAGGCTATGATATACATGTATGCCTAAATATAATATGTGATATACGGTAGATTTATGACTATCACACTACTAAAAATGTTTCCTATAAAAATCATTTTCAATTTCAAAAAATATTGCCGAGAAGAAAAAATCGGTGACGTCGAAATTTCTGTTGAACCATATACATAATATTTATATGCGATTTATACTTAACATTAGGTTACAGGTTATTTTGGTATACAAATACGTTTTTGTTGTATATATACACTTTTATACTCGACATTAATTCAACCGCATAGGTACAATACTTTAATTACCTATAGATAATTGATTTTATCATAGTATAATTATTTAACCCCTTGTCATGTTCATAATATTTGAGTCGTAAGACTTTTAATATTTTCATTGAATTTGGCTTAGACCGATAGATAAAAATGTACGATATGTATGTACATATTTAAATTATATTTTCACAAAAAAAAAAAAAAAATTATATAAACTTATTTTACGAAAAATTACAGCTTAAATTCTTCAATTACTCATGTAACGCACGTTAAAATTTTTAATAATTATAGTTGCACCAAAACGATCGCATGACCTGTAAACGTCACCCAAAAATCATATTCATCGTGGTGTTATACCAATAAACAGTCTTCGGAAATTTTTTTATCATTTATCTTTTTTCCGTAATTTTGACTTTTCTTATACTGCGAACGATCTAATGTGTACAATATAACACTATGCGTTGGAAAGTGCGTTCGGGCACAGTGTCGTCAACAGAGGACTTTCATGCTCCACAATAACTAATAATACATAATATTCAATAATTATATTATTATTACGTAGGTACGTTGTAAGTTCACACAGAAGAAAAGTAGATGCATGGGTTTAAACGTATCTGTGTATGCCCAAAACCATTAAACGGCATTAATACTTTTAATTGCGACTATTATTATACCGAAAATCGAAATAATGTTGTACCTACATGTAAATTGTTTACACGCACTCGGTCACACGTTGATGATAATATTAAACAATAAATTACGGGACTGGCCGTAATAACGTACGTAGCAACAGCAGTAGACATGCGCTAGTGCATCGGTCGGTACGTTAATTTATAATAATACGACTTATTAATATTATAATAGGTATGTTGGTCGCGGGGGGGTAGCGATGGAGACATAATATATTATAATTATTTAGGACCCGGTCGCGTCCGTCGAAAATTTCATTTTAATTCGGCCAATTATTAAAAAATATTATATTATTATAATAATGTTTAACATAGGCGCGCGCGACACGACGTATAACATAGGTAGGTAAACAAATAGGTAAAAGAGTATAGCTGCGGCGCGGCGGTATAGTTATCACGAGACTCGCCAACAATATTTATCATTAAGTCGATACAATTTTAACACGCCGTTACTGCACAAGTAATGCTACTACTATAACATGTATATGAATATTATTATACGGCAGTAGTTACGGGTGTTAATAAACGCGCCGAATCGTTGTAATAAATAATTTTAACGTATGACGTATTATACTTTTACGACCTCGTTTTTGTGTGCGTGTGTTTGGTATGAGTTAATCCATTTCGTTTTCGGTTAATTTTTTTTTTTCACTTTAAATTATTACTTTGCCACAACGCGTGACGCCTTGAAATATAAAACTATGTTTATATATATTTTACGTATACGCTTTAATATCGCGTAATTTAAATAACACGTGTGTTTTATAATTAATTATCATCATAGTATAACCGTTGGTTTACGTTTTAACAAAATTGGTAGGTGTTAAAAATAAGAGTACCCTTTATATACCTTCACCATATGTATATACAGTACACGCGTAAATGTTAAATTTATAGAAAACATACTTAACAAATTTATCTACATGACGTTTACTGGTTTCGATTTCAGTGATCATTATTGTTTTCTGATCGGTTGGTATCGCGTCATGTATATTTTGATTACTATACAAATTATCTTCTTTTTTTAAATATAAAATAAAAATAGTACCACTCTGCTGAATAGTAGGCGTTCAGATAGATATGTTAAATTTTAATTCAGTTCGTTTTGAGCGGAAACGATCTGTCAGCTTAAATTATAAAGTATTTATTTTACTATAAGTAAAATTTTAAGTTCCTATATTGTTTTGAATTACCTATAACAATATGATAAACATCATTATTCATAGTTTAAATTTATAATTTCTTTCAAATTTTAACTTAGTAAAAAAAATACGTTTGTTTTTTGATTTTTTGGTTTTAGTATGACTACCAATGAACATCGTTATATTTTAATGTTCAATTAATTTTACTCATTCAACAATTTTTTATTGACATTTATAAATTATGAGATAAAAAAAAAAAAATTCAAAAGTCTATAATCAATGTCAAAATATTTTTAAAATTATATCAAAGAAAGATAAATAATAATTATATTAACATTTGGTGAACATTTCAAATATTTACGGTTATTAGTTTTTAAATAATTAAGAAAATACCACACTATAATAATATTAAGAGTATTCAGACAGTGATAGAAATAAATTTAAGCATTCTGAAAAAAACTTACTTAATTTTGGTTTTAAAGTAAAAATACATATTAGAAAATTATAGAAGATAATATTTTTGAAGGTTTAACATATCGAGTTTATATTTTATTATTATTTGACATAGTATTAAACTTTCAAAATTAAAAAAAAAAAATATTAATTTGAATGATTTTAAAAATTGTTTTGAGACAATATTCAGACTAATCGATATGTCTATCTTCAAAAATGAATAGTTAATTCTTTATAATTTTTGTTATGGGTAATTTTACTCTAAAATTACTCAAAAACATAAAAAAAAAAAAAAAATGGTTTTGCGTAAATACGTTTTGTTTATGTTACGTGTAGGCCAGAGAGAGAAAATAAGCAATACATAATATCCTCTTAAACTCGATGGTTAAAGTAACGCGTCTAGACAAATAAATTATGTCAGTCGTATAGTAGCGATTTAACTATTAAAAAAATTGATGCAGAAACTATCTCTTGAAAAAATATTGTAAAAAACTTACAGCACTTGCTAAACAAACAGACTATCCATATCTATCTAAAAGTTTATAACGAATAAGTCTATACGAATATTTAACGTTTTTGTACTGACGTAACAAAGACGTAACAAAATTTTAGAAATTATTTGATGTTATTGAGTTATAGCTAAATTATGTTTTAATTTTTTTTATTTAAAATTATATTTTCATTTTTGATTTGAAAAAGGTATTGCAAATACTCCGTATCTTATAATGGATCAACATAATAATTGTGATATCTATTCTTTTGTACAAGATCGAAAACAGGTGAGACAAATCTGAA